GGGGAAGAGCGTTCACAAGCCTGGAGTAGAGGGACTACCCCAGCTCCTCAGAGGCCCACTGAGGACACAGGAAATCCTCCTAGGACACCCTGCCAGGCCCTCCAGTGCTGGCCCGTGGGACCGGCACTCTGCTGCTGACTCTGACTTGCCTCATGTCATTATTCCTCCTTGCTCATGTTACAACTGCCCTTTTCCACAGGGATGCTTGAAGATGGAAAGAAATTCGATTCCTCCCGGGACAGAAACAAGCCCTTTAAGTTTGTGCTGGGTAAGCAGGAGGTGATCCGAGGCTGGGAAGAAGGGGTTGCCCAGGTATGCTGTCCGTTGTTTCATTGTGTTTCCTGGTGTCTAATTCTTAAATTACGTTTATAGGTGGTAAAAATTTCACTCCTGGCTCTCTCACCCAAATAACTCCTTTTATTAATGTTTCTTGTAGAATTTCTTTAAGTGCCCCCCCTTTTTTCTTTTAGACACACACACACGTTGTTCTGTGCTCTGCTTTTTTACTTAATCCATCTCTGATACTTTATATACCAGGACATAAAAGAGGAGGAAGCTCTCCTCCTCATAGAGCTACATAGTGTAGGCAGACCTCAAATATTGCAGGTTCGGTTCCAACCACCACAATAAAGCAAATCTTGCAATGAAACAAGTCACGTGAAGTTTTTGGTTTCCAAGGGCATATTAAAGTTATGTTTACACTGTACTGTAGTCTGTTAAGTGTGCAATAGCATCATGTCTAAAAAAACAATGGACAGTTTACCTTTGAGCAATGTGGGGGTAGGGGCATCCCTCCCCCGCCCCCTGAACAGTTGAAAATCCATGTATAACTTTACAGTCGGCCCTCTGTGTCTGCAGTTCCTCATCCAGGGATTCAGCCAAGCACGGATCACGTAGTATTTAGCATTGAAAACAATTCACGTGTAAGTGGCCCCACATAGTTCAAACCCATGTTGTTCAAGGGTCAACTGTACATACCTTAATTTAAAAATATTTTATTGCAAAAAAAATGCTAACCATCATCTGAGCCTTCAACAAGTCATAATCTTTTTGCAGTAGTAACATCAAAGATCACAGATTGCCATCCAAATAATAATAATGAAAAGGTTGGAAATACTGAGTGAATTACCAAAATGTGGCAGACATGAAGTGAGCAAATGCTATGGAAAAAATGGCACCAGTAGATTTACTCAACACAGGGTTGCCACAAACCTTCAATCTGTAAAAAAAACACAGTATCTGTGAAGCACAGTAAAATGAGGTATGCCTGTATTCCCTGCATTCCCTTGGGAGTGCTATAATTTATTTGACCGGTACCCTATTGATGGCCATTTGGGTCATTTCCAGTATTTCGATAATTGTAAACAATACTGCAGTGACTAATCTTTTTTTTTTTTTTTTTTTTTTTTTTTTTTGCGGTATGCGGGCCTCTCACTGCTGTGGCCTCTCCCCTTGCGGACGTGCAGGCTCAGTGGCCATGGCTCACGGGCCCAGCTGCTCCGCGGCATGTGGGATCCTCCCGGACTGGGGCACGAACCCGTGTCCCCTGCATCGGCAGGCAGACTCTCAACCACTGTGCCACCAGGGAAGCCCTGCAGTGACTAATCTTGAATGGACTTTATTTTACATTTGTGCAAGTGTTGCCATAGGCAAATTCTTAAAAGTGGAGTGAGTGGTTCAGTGGCTGTGTGCACTGGATTTTGACATACTGCCAGGTTGCCATCTATGGGGATTACACTGAGTTGCCACCAGTGGGCTGTGAAGGTGCCTGCTCCTCCCAGGCCCTCCAGCACAGTGTGTTATTAAAAAGTTTTGGCTTCAGGACAATATAATGAGTGAAAAATGTTATCTCGGTATCATTTTAATTTGTGTTTGTCTTATTATTGACCATGTTGTGTCGGACCACTTCTGAGAGGTCAGACTCATGGAGAAAGTCATTTTGCTTGTCTTAAGTGTGTTTCTTCACCTCTCACCTCCCAATTTGTGTAAACAGCTTTTGTTCTGCCAACTCTTCAAAATTCCCAGTAGATAGTAGGGGACCCAGGGTTGCCAAATTTCAGTTGGATTTTATCCTTCCACTAAGCCCAGGAATTTTCTTCTTGGCACTAACCAGGTAAAGGGATGTTTACGGTGGCCTAAGACCCAGCGAGCTTTATAATAGGCCCTGCCACGATGGATAAATTAGTCTATTTCCTCTCACCAAAGAGAATTGGAGATTTAACCAGTGTGGAGAGAAGGATTTGTCTTTCTCTTTTCCAGAATACACTTTGCTCTACTTCCTCTATAAAATATCACTGATTTATCTCCAAATAAACTGCTTAACTTTCAGAAACTTTAAGCTATCCCATTCCCAGGTGTCTAGATTTTTGTTCCAGCAGTACAAAAAGGAGAGGAGCTTCGTGGCTTACTTCCCTTTGGAAACCTCTTCAACTATACCTTTCTGTCCCGTCCTGTTCCCACCCCAGAAGTCTGGCAGGCTCTTGGGTCTGTAGCCCATCCCCCATCTCCCGTGCCAACCATTGTCCACCCCACAACTCATCTTCTGTGGCTGTTCCAGCACTGGAACAATCATTGTGTTGTGTGTTCCAGGAGCCATAGCTACCACCAAGATAGTGTTACCAGTCTATTTCACATCCCAGGCTTGGTGAGGCATGGTGGGGTGTTGGAGAGATGCCCAGTCTCCCCCTGCACCCAGGGTTCTTTGGGTCAGTCACAGCTCTGTTACTTGTGAGAAGTCTGGTCTGAGACCTACATAGAGCATCTTCTTTTAAATTCCTCTGTAGAATATTTATTTAGCAACTAAGTTTAGCAACTAAGTTAAAAGCACAGGAAGAAGGGGGGTTGTCTTGTGCCCCTTTTCCTATTCTTTTGATTTTGTGTTCTGGTTTTCTGTGTTTACAGGTCTGCAATCCTGCCACATGTACTATTTTGGCAGCTTGCTTTTTTTCATCTAACGATGTGCCTTGGACATCTTTCCATGTTAGTATAATTAAGGCCACTGTATTCTTTCTGTTGGCTAACCCGTGGTGCACATGTGCTGTGAAACCACTCCCCTTGCAGTGGGCATTTGGGTTGCTAGCAGATTCTGGAAGTGGAATTGCTCGGTAAAAGGATATGATTGTTTTGAATTTTATTAGATTAAGCCATATGCTTTCAACTGTCCTTACTACCTTGGTCCTACATGTCCCAGTTTCTGAAGGGAGCTGTAGGAAGTAAGCCTGCAGCTTTCTCTTCAGTCACCATCTCTTCTTCTGGGTCAGATAGCCAGGAATGCACACATGGAGACTTAAAAAAGATAGGTAAAGGGTGGGAATAGAGCAGAGAACCTGCTCACTATTCAGAAAATAAATACTTAAGCTTGTGTATTTGATTAGAAAATGAAAAACTACAAATACATTTTAATAAGTGAAAAATTTCCCTCCACCCTCTGTTCTCCCCATAGAGAAATGATGGTATTATTTGTGTCCTTCCAAAGATGTTTTCTGTTTATACAGGCAGGTATAAATATATACTTTCCTCTTTTTCACACAGTTGGTAGCATGCTGCTTTGTACAGTGTAGTTTGTACCCCAGAAAATCATAGTCTTTTTTAGTTTTTCTGTATTTCTGAGTACAAGTATAAATCTAGAAAGTATAGAAAAGTAGACTGCCTCAAAAATTACTTTCTGTGTGTTTTCTTTTAAAGCAAAGTTTTGATCAAAGCACTCCTTTTTGAAGAGTATAGATGCCTCTAGTGACAGGCCACTGAAGAATTAGGTGGTGACACTTGTAGAGTGATGGCTGCCCAGAGTCAGATCAGTGAGACCTGGACAGAAAGCTTGAGAGCCTGATGGTTCTGGGAGTCGAGAGGGATTTTTATCTGCTGTTGGCTACCTTGGAACCAGATATAGGGCTCATCCAGCCTGATCGCCTACCTCCACATCCCATAGAGGGCGTGCCCGCTGCCCAGGCAGCCATGCAGTCCCTGGAATGTCCTAGTCACACCGTCCTGGCAGGTAACCACAGCTCTGCTTCTTAAGGAGACATTTGGGGGGTGCATCAGTTCATTCATTCTTCCTTGCTCTTTTCACAGATGAGTGTGGGTCAGAGAGCCAAGCTGACTATCTCCCCAGACTATGCCTATGGTGCCACTGGGCACCCAGGCATCATCCCACCAAATGCCACACTCGTCTTTGATGTGGAGCTTCTAAAACTGGAATGACAGGAATGGCCTCCTCCCTGATCTCCCCATTCTTGGGTAAGGAACTTAGTGCTGAAGGACCTTCCTTTAACTCCCTTTGCTCCTCCCAAGTCATGCACAGTGTTTGATGAGCATCAGAGAGAACCAGAAATGCCGTGGGTGTTTTTCCCTTTACATTCTTCCTCTACTGGGTATCCTTTCAGTTTTAAGTGTACACCTTGGAAAGGGACGGCATGTGCTCTTGAAAGAACTCGTGGGGATGGGGCAGCTGATGGTAGCTGTTTAAATTAAGTATTTTTATATGTACCCTGTAAACTAAAACTGAGTTGGGAACTGGAAATATAGGCCAAATTTTTAGTGCCAGCATTTTAGTTCTTTAGAGGTAAGATTGGGATGACTGACTTTGCTTGCCCTGCCTAGTTTCTGCAGCTCCCTCATCCATACAGTCTGTGGTTACTGCCTGTTAGAGGATATCAGAGAGGCATTTACCACCTGGGCCACCTGCCTCGGGGAGCAAGCCCAGGACACAAGAGGACAGACAGCAGGCCAGCTTGTTATCAGTGGGTTGAAAGGTGAGGCCTAAGGATGCTTATGAAGTGTAAAGGATGCTCTCAGTCTAGGAGAGGCTCTTAGGGACCTAAGTCCGCCTTTCTGTGCAACAAGTGAGGAGACTGAGGCCCAGAGAGAGAGAGGCCTTACTCAAGGTCACATCCAGACAGTGGCAAATTAGGACAGAACCCTTTTCTGCATCTCCTTCCTGGACCTTTTTTTCCTTTCTCTACTCTCATTTCTAGGCAACCAAACTCAATATCCTAATGGCACCTAACTTTTCATGTGGATATTAGAATCATAAAACACATGAACGTTTGTCATCTTCTTTCCACATGGCCCCAGACCTCTGCATTTGCTCCCCTCCTGCCCCTGGAACCAGAGGGTCACAGCCAGGGGCTGGGTGAGAATGCTTTTGTTTGAAAATGGTAGCAAGTGGCAGCCAGCCTGTTATGGAGTACCTTTGTCCTACTATGGACTTTTTAAAATAGAGGAGCCTTTTTTATTATTAGCTATTTCCTCCCAGTGGTTTGATCCTTAAACACCTGGGTCATCCAGGCCTGGTCAGGTTTGAGGACTCTGGCTGCTCCTCTTGTCATCCTGCCGGGAGGGAATTCTGACACTTTACAGAGCCTCTCTCTGCCCAGAGGTCTGCACCTAGTCCTCACCCTGGAAAGCTGAGTCCTTTGAACATGATGTACTTGAGGAAGCCTTGGAGTTACCCTGATTTGGGAACAGGCTTTCTGGAAATCTGGAAAAACAGAGGAAGGGGAGAAAGAGGGGAGAGAGGGCTGAATGGCTATGAGTCACCCTGGCCTAAGCCTCCCCACACACTGCCAAAGCATAGCTCAGAGCTTCTCGAAAGGGTCTTGAGGGAAAGCCCAAGGGCAAACCCAGAAAGTTACAGGTTCGAGTGAGTGAATGAAGACTGCAGACATTTTCTCAGTCTGTTCAACATGAGGAAAACCAGCTTCGGGCTGTGCACATTAAAGCCCCTGGGAAGCTTTAAAGACTCTCTTGATGCCCAGGCTACCCCCCAGACCAGTTAACCGCCACCGCTGGGAGTGGGGTCCAAGTGTTCAGGTTTTTTAAAGCCCCCAGTTGATTCCTATATGCAGCCAGGTTGGAGACTCATTGATAATGGGAAACTGTATTGTCAGCTGCACTGGTGGACTTTGCCTCTCTTGCTATCCTCAGCAACAGAAATGTGACCTTAGGTTTAAAAAAACACAACCAAGGTGAGCAGAAAGGAGCTGCTCACCTGGGAATCCAGCCCGAGCCCAGTGGGCCCTCCCCAGCTGGAGCAGAAGGGGCGAGGGCCAAGTCAGACCTCACAGCTGTTAGGGAAGGGACTTGGTGTGGCAGCGGCCTGTGGCTGTCGCTACTGCACCCAAAAAGCATTGAGTTGCTGGAACTCACCAACTTTCTGTCCCCACCAGATGTGCCATGGAAGGATCTGGCGCCTCCAGATGCACACAGCGAGTCCGTACGGAGCTTTTCCTGATGTTCCACTACACTCTTTGTATAAACATCTTCCCTGACTGAATGTGTTCTGTCACCGGCTTTGCTCTTCCCCTTTCTCCTCGTATGTGTGTTGACCTGAACTATATGCCATAAACCTCAAGTTACCCATTTTAGTTTGTTTTCGTTTTGGGGTGAAGATTGAGTTTCAGTCCTTTGTATCTAGGTTTCCAGTTAAGTACTAGTCAGGTATTAACAGCACAAATAATGGGTTAACTTTAGAATAGGAATTGGTGTTGGGGGGAGTGCAAGAATCTTTATTTTATTTTATTTTTTTTTTTGGATGAAAGTTTTATCTATTATATATTAAACATTCTTGCTGCTGCGCTGCAAAGCCATAGCAGATTTGAGGCGCTTTTGAGGGCCGAATTATTCTCCAAGTTGAGAGATGTCCTCGGGTTGAATTAAAAGCCCTACCCAAAACTAAAGTGGGAAGGGGAGAGCCTTTGCCTCCACTGTCCCACCCCCACCCTCCCCTTAACCCTCTGCCTTTTGAAAGCAGATCATTTTCACTGAGATATTGGACACTACAGGTGTGTGTCACCGGGCCAGCAGGGACCTCTGAAGCCTTCTTCATGGCCTGGCTTTTTTTTTTTTTTTTTTTTTTTT